GTGTGTGTGTGTGTGTGTGTGTGTGTGTGTGTGTGTGTGTGTGTGTGCGTGCGTGTGTGTGTGTGTGCGTGCGTGCGTGTGTGTTTTACAATATGACTGTGTGAGCAGCAGCACACCAGCAGATGGAGCTGCAGGGCTGCAGGACCCTGCAGGCCTGGACAGATCAGCTCCCCCCTGTAGGCCTGACGGAATGCTCCAGCCTGCTGCCCTTCATCTGCAGGAGCAGCAGAGGTGAGCCACACATCCTGCATGTGCAAACTGCTACACAGGCTGACATGAAATGAAAACTCTGCAGTCATTTGAAAATATTCTGGTACAGATTCTTCAACTTTACATGACATGCATCCATTCTTTCATTTGCCAAAAATACTTGTGTTCAAGGCTGTGGGGGAGTTGGAGTCCATCTCTAGCTGTCATTGGACACGCTAGGTGGGCTGGGGAGTATTGCGTGGGTGTGTTGGCATCCTGGAAAGGTTGACAGTTGTATGTCACACCAAGTTATGCAGCTACACACTCACAACTATGTTAGCATCTCCAGTTAACTACCCCGCATGCTTTTGAACTCTGTGGTTAAATGAGAGTACCCTGAGATAAGCCCATGTGCACATGCAGAACATGCAAAACTTCACACTCAGAGGTCCCAGCTGAAGGTTCAACCTGTGACCTTTCAGCTGAACGGCAACAGTGCTAACCCACCACTCCACAGTGTAGCAAAATCATGGATCGTTAAGCTAATAATATCTTCACAGGGGGGACATGAATCAAACAATAAAACAAAGTAAAGTTTATGAAAAGCTGTGCAACTCTTTAAGCAGGATAAAATAGGAGCCACTTCTGTGGGCTCTTTATTGCCCACAGCGAAGAGACAAAGTGACTGTGTTTGTTCATATCAGTGTGTGTGTGGTGGCTTTCACTGCTTCCTGTCAACCCAATTCAGAACCATCGCTTATGTTCCAAGCACCAACACCTCTACATTACACCCTCACACACACACACACACACACACACACACGCGCGTGTTCGCTCTAAGATCAGTTGGTTGTTGCAGTCTTGCTGATTTTTTCTTTTTTTTTTAAAATTGAACCTTTATTTATCCAGGTTGGTCTCAGTGAGTCACGAGGACTCATTTTCAAGAGAGACTGTTTTAGACAGACAACGATACACAACAAGAAAATAAATTAAAACTAAAACGTTATAAAAACTCTGTTCCTGCTGCAGCATGGTCTTGTCAGCAGAATGGTTCTGTTAACAGTGAGGTCCTGTTAGCAGCACGATCCTGCAGCAGCCAGCATGAAGCTCCAGTAGAAAATACTGCATTTTCCAGACTAAAGCCGCTCCATGTTTCACATGTGACTTATACAATGCTGCAGCTAAGTGATGGATTTTTGATGGGCTAATGAGCTTCATTTTTCTTTTATCAGCTGTGTCACAGGCACTGTTCAGAAACAAAAAACTAAAAAAAATGTGTAGGTATGTGTTCGGTTACCGATATGTATTCAATTAAAAGTTTACAAAAATAAATTTTCTGTGTAAATGTCTCATGTTACAACGTGAAGACCTGTGGCTTACAGACAAGTGCAGCCTATTTATTGTATGTAAAATTGTAATTTTCTTTTAAAATGTAGCAGGTGTGGCTTATATTCAGGTGCGCTCAATAGTCTAGAAAGGCCAGTAGTTGGTCTGCCAGCAGTGACAGCAGCAGGCTGCTGGTGCTGGAGGTTTGAAAGCGAACGCGGAGCAGGTCATGGTCCGACGCCCCGCGGCCTGCTGCATGAAGCCATCGCCACAGAAAGATGTGAAATATGTGCATATTTGCATGTTTAATGGAGCAGTGCCACAACTTTTTCCCCTGAAGTAGACATGTCATCAGTTCTGGTTAGAATTTAACCATGTCAGGTTTTATTGATTCAAACTTGATTGACTTACTTGATACGGCTCCATTGCTGCAGATTTTGCAGGCTTTAAATCTGAAAAGAGTAGGAACATTAAGATATTGTTACTTTGAAGCGCAAAATACCTTCAAGTAAAAAGGAACTGGGAATATAATTCCCTTTTGATCGTACTGACACCAACCTGGAGCCCATTGTAGGTGAATATTTTTGTGTTAGGATATTTTTGATATATAAGAAAAAGATTAGCAAATATTTGCATCTGGTTTCATATTTAATACCTCCCTATTTAATCACACACTCATGTGCTCATGTGTATATGTGCATGTAGCAATTAGTTTAATGCAAAGTTGAATTAAAATTAATCCAGTGATGAATACAATATTTTACTAACAGACAAGAGGGTTGACAGTAATGGTTCATGGCAAAGTTTTAGACAAAAGCCTGAAATGCAAAACTCTGTTGCTGATTCTGAGTCATTTTGTGTTTTGTAAAGTTGCTCAACTGTGTCGGCCATCTTGAATTGAGTTGACTTCAGAGTTATTCAGTTGTAGCTGTGCATAAAATGATCATTTTCTTAAAGGTTCAAAATTATCAGCCAAATGGTTTACAGCATATTTTACTAACAAACCGACAAATGCACATAAACTTTCACACAGGGGCTAAAGCATAAGAAGAATGTTACTGACACAGACTTGATGGTATTTTTGGTGCAGAGCGATACGTGAGGATGAAGGAGATGACTGAATCCCAGAGCTCCCAGCCCTCTGCTTTTATGCAACAACTGATGAAGCTCTCCAACCAGAGCCAGGTAGACCACCTCTAACCATGCACCTCGAACTCTACCTCTGTTTGTCTTGCATCAGACAACCGTTTCTAAAAGATTATATAAGCTGATTATGATACAATATCTGATTTGGTTATCAAGTTATATTAACTAACTGTATGTTTTTCATTTTCCAATTCATATTTGTCTTAGTCTACTTAAAAAAGGACAAAAAGAGCTTTACCAAAAATGGTTAGAAACATACAGTCATCAGAACAGAAGCTAATGTAGCGAATAAATTAATTATACAACATGACATATTGAAGAATAATCATTAAAACCACTTTGATTTTTGAACCTTTATAAATGGGATTAAATCATTTGTTACTTGAAAATTATTACGATTGAACTAATTGTTTGAAAAAAGGGGCAGATATAATAAGATTTTTTCTTCTTTCTGCTGCCTTTCATTTTAAATCTCCTGTATTTTTTTTATATAGTTATGAAACTGTTTTGTATTTTTAAAATGAACAAACTTTATACCATACCATACCATTTGTTGTGCTGAGTCCAGTCTTTTGTCCTCCTCTCTCAGCCAGTTCTTGGCCAGCAGCCTTCAGGGCTCAGCAGCCTGGCCCAGGCCTCTGTCCTGCTCAATGTCTCAGTGCAAGCCCTGGGAGAGATGCAACAGGAGGAGCTGCAGCCGGCCGATATGTTGTCGCTCATCCAGCTGCTGGCACTGACCTCTGACATCCCCTCTGAGCCGCTGGCCCGTCCTGACAACAGCAGCCACGACAACATCCAGGAGCTCAGCCAGCACTTCATAAGTGTGGCCGACAGCATCATCGGTGAAGAAAATACCCTCAAGTGGCAAGCCATCAAGGAGGTAGCACAAAATAAGCAAAGTAGTTGATCATGTTTCTGTTTTGTTGTTGGTCTGCTCAAGGCAGAGGTGTAAAATGTTTCCAAAGCATCAGACCTGCAGGGACCCCCGTCTACCTGGTGATTGCATCAATGTGGGATGTGTTTTCTGTGAGGAACAACTATTGTTGGCACGTAGAATAAATCTAACGACTCTTTAGGTTTGGGTGCAATCTTAATTATTGCACGAGTTATGTCTTGTGTTTTGGAACGCTTCAGTACAGGAAACAAGGAAATGATTTGACAAGAACCTGAAAAAACAATGAGAAGGTAAACAGAGCTTTCATGAGTGCTGCAAAAATCAGAGAATTTTGAAACGAGTGGAACATTTGAAAATATGAAAAACATCATGAGAGACAGACGACACGGTGGAGCAGATGGTAGAGCTGTGGCCTCTCAGCAAGAAGGTCACCAGTTCAAATCCCAGCTGGGGCCTTTCAGGGTGGAGTTTGCATGTTCTCTCCGTGCTGTGTGGGTTTTCTCCGGGTACTCCGGTTTCCTCCCGCTGACCAAAAACATGTATGTTAGACTGATGGTAACTTTAAACTGATCCTAGGTGTGAGTGAGAGAGTGAATGGTTGTTTGTCTCGTTTGTCTCTATGTGTCCCTGTGATGGACTGGAGACCTGCCCAGGTGTCCCTGTGATGGACTAGAGACCTGTCCAGGTGTCCCCCGCCTCTCACACAGTGATAACTGGACATGGGCACCAATGACCCCCATGATTGGAAAAGGAAGAAGTGGGTAAAGATGATGTCTGGATGAAGAATGAGACAACTAACTGTTTAATGAGTCAGCCTAAAACATTAGTACAAATATCTGTATTATTAGGGAGCTACTGAAGCATCCTTACTATTTCATTAAAAATAAATTATTCTGTATCTTGTTGCTTAGCTTTGTAATAAAAGAAGCAAATTATACATGAAAACTGCAGTTTGGTCTAGAATAATCTGTTAAGACTTTTGGTAGTGACATGTTGTACAAAAAGAGCAAAATCTGAAACGACCCGGGGGGTGGGGGTTGTCTACAATAAACACCAAGAGTAACCACAGGCCGTTTGGAGCTCTACAGTTCAGCCACACTTCACATTAAAAATATGATTCAAAGTTTAAAGCAACAGAAAGTTCAGTTTAGGGTTTAAGATATTTGGAGATTTTACCAAATAATGTTCAATATGGACCTTTAAGCTGTAAAATGTCTAAACTGTTGTCCTATTCCCACCATGATGTTGGGGACATTTACAAATGATCCATTGAACCAGAGGTGTTTCTGTCATTGTGTCTCTCACCACTTTAGAATCAAAGGTTTTCTCTCCAGTCCCTCCTGAATGCATCGAGTTCACAGCTGAACTTACAAACACTGAGCAGCTCTTACCAAAATGTGGACATTTGTTTCTGATCATAGATTGTTATGAAATTAATGATGGAACTTTGGGCCTTAAACGTATTGGCACAAATCTAATTTTTCTCTGAAATATACTAGTTCACGTATGGGGTTATTTTTTGTATTTATTTCTATAAATACAAAAAACCTGAAAAGAAATACAAGAACCTGAAAAAACAATGAGAAGGTAAACAGAGCTTTCATTAGTGCTGCAAAAATCAGAGAATTTTGAAACGAGTGGAAAGAGTGGAGCCTTTTTTGTATTTATATCTATATGGGGGCCGAGATGGTGTAGAGGCAGGGCAGCCGGCTTGGGACCCGAAAGTCCCAGGTTCAATCCCCAGTCACTGCATATCACGTGGTGTCTCTGGGCAGCACACCTCATCCCCAAAATGCCCCCCCCCCCCCATTACAGTGATCCTCCCCCTTAGGGATTCATGAACAGCTTCAGGGTAGAAGCTGTTCCTCAGTCTAGTGGTTCTACACTTAATGCTCCTCAACCTCCCGCCTGAGGGGAGCGGGGCAAAAAGTGTATGTGCTGGGTGAGTGGGGTCCTTCATGATGCAGGTGGCCCTCTTCCTGCATCTAGAGGTGTAGATGTCTGTGATGGTGGGGAGGCTGACTCCAACATCTTCTGTGCAGCTTTCACCACTCTCTGCAAAGCTTTTCTTTCTGCAGCTGTGCAGCCTCCATGCCACACGTTGATGCTGGAGCACAGGATGCTCTCCACTGCACACCTGTAGAAGGAGGTGAGGACTGAGCTTCCCAGACCAGCTCGTCTCAGCTGCCTGAGGAAGTAGAGTCTCTGATGTCTGATATGTGAGAGAAGATAAAACTGGAGAAATATCTCTCCTTAAAAGCTACTAATTACTGGTATTCAAAAATATGAGATTTGTTATATTGTTCCTGTTTGGTAGACTGTTGGGTTGTCCTGTAGCTCTGCACATGCTCAGGATGATCTGCCAGGGGAGTTGTGTTATTTAATTTTAAACCACTAGGGGACAGTATGCATCTTTAAATACGAAACTGAAACTCTCAAATCTGCCTTTGACATTACTCAGTCATTCAGTTTTTACTCTAGTATTTGACAGAAAATCTTCATCTAATTCCATTCACTGATGACATATTGCTTCTCTTATTTTTTATTTTTTATATATATTTTTTTTAAATTCTGTCTTCACTATTGATGTGTGGACTATATGGATCCGTACGACGATTGCCTTTTGTGAAGAGCTGTGTTTCTCTCGGCTCTTTGCCTTCCTTCTCCACCCCCCACCCCCACCCCCAGCCTCTTAGCGCACCAAGGCCACCTCAACGCAGACTCAAAGGATGAGAAGCACTCTGAAAATCCACGGCTGCACTCATCCACAAACCTCCCGCACTCTGCTCCCAGCTCTGTCTCCAAGGCTGAGCTCAGAGATGGGCACGCTGAAATCAAAATGTTTTTTTTAAGCACACAATGGCAACATCTTGTAGAACTATCTGTTGAGGTTTGTGTGTAGACTCTGGAAAACAGCTAACGCTACTGAAAATCTTTGTGTGTGTGTGGCAATCAATGGTCATTTTGAAGTGTCATTAAGAGTGGATGAGTGCTGCTGATGCTGACACACTCCGTGGGTTTTAGGTGGTGAACGGCCCCATGGATGTTGTCAAGAGCATCGACCGAATGGTGACCCACTTGAGCCCTCGCTTGACAGCAGAGACTGACCATCTTACCATTCACAGTCCCAACATCAGTGAGTATGAAATATGAAAATACGGCACAGGAATTTTGTCATTAAAAGGTGATACATCTGATTTAGTGTCATCATCAAGAAGCCTTAGAAACCACAGAAATTCAATTATGTAACAAGTGACCTTCAGAAAAAATAAGATCCATTCACAAGTGAAGTCAGAATGTGGTCTAAGACCTGCAAAAATCACAAAAAAAAGGTTAAATCATGTCATCTGGACAGTTTCCTTTTGGGAGAAACGTTTCAGAATCAGAATAAACTTTATTATCACTGAACCAAGATACAACAAGAACATGTACGTACAGTTGTCCGAAAGATGGACGGCGTGCACGAAGCTGCTACTATGAAAGCGTGGCCCTCATTATTATTCTTCAGAATATTTTTGCTTAGATGAGAAAAAGGAAGAAAACATGAGGCGAGACGGAATAAAAAAAAAGATCTCCCACTCCGTGTCCTAGACAGGGCACGATTTGAGGCATCAAAAAAAAAAAAACTACCACAGCAAAGCAACATAAACAGACGTTATACATGAACATATAGGCCAGCGAAGACATTGAATTTTTAAGAGAAAGTCGTAGCATAGCCCAGAGCCCCCCCTCTCAGCCATTGTCCAGTTAAGAGGTGTTATTCATCATCAGCTCGGTTGAGGTTCCGTCACATGTCCACGGCCTTGGGGAAGGGAGGGGTGAGGAGAAAGACAAAGCATCTTTGTTTTTTTCTAAACATGCCAGGAGGAGTTGAGATAAGTTCGCCATCAAGGCCACAGTTTGGGTCAGGCAGAACTCGTGAATTGCTGTTTCTGCCTTTTAAAGTCTCGCTGGTATATATTCCTCTGATGGAAACTCGAAACAGCCGAATTGATTCCTTAAAGTGGAGCTCACAGCTTCTCCAAGATTATTCCCACCTTCATGTGTGCTGCTAGAGTGGTGGAGAGGAGTGGTGGTGCAGAGGTTAGAGAAGGTGGGCCTGTGATCGGAAGATCGTCGGTTCAAGCCCCAGTACCGACAACATCAAAAATGTGGGTGGGGTAGGTGAAGCACCCACACCTGCCCCACCCTTATTCGTCCCACTCTGGGCCCTTGAGCAAGGCCCTTAACCCCCACCATCTGCAACTCCGGGTGTCCTTGATAGCAGCTCTCTGCTCCACACAGAGGGCTGTGGTAGCTCGGTGGTCTGTGGTTGCGTCAGGAAGGGCATCCGGCGTAAAAATAACTGCCAAATCTTCGGGCGTCTTAGTTCGCTGTGGCGACCCCTAACACAGGGCGCAGCCGAAAGGTTTGCATCAAGGCAGCATCATGGTTTGGGCCTGCTTTTCATCAGCAGGGACAGTGAAGATGGTCAGAATTGATGGGAAGATGGATGGGGCCAAATACAGGACCATTCTCGAAGAAAACCTGTTTGAGTCTGCAAGAGACCTGAGACTGGGACGGAGATTTATCTTCCAACAAGACAATGATCCAAAACATAAAGCCACATCTACAATGGAATGGTTCACAAATAAATGTATCCAGGTCTTGGAATGGCCAAGTCAAAGTCCAGACCTGAATCCAATTGAGAATCTATGGAAAGAGCTGAAGACTGCTGTTCACAAACGCTCTCCATCCAACCTCACTGAGCTCCAGCTTTTTTTGCAAGAAGAATGGGCAGAATTTCAGTGTCTCCATGTTCAAAACTGATAGAGACAAACCCCAAGAGACTTGCAGCTGGAACTGCAGCAAAAGGCGGTGCTACAAAGTATTAACGCAAGGGGGACGAATAATATTGCACTCCCCACTTTTCAGTTTTTTATTTGTTAAAAAAGTTTGACATCCAATAAATGTCATTCCACTTCACGATTGTGTCCCACTTGTTGTTGATTCTTCACAAAAAAATTAAAATTTTATATCTTTATGTTTGAAGCCTGAAATGTGGCAAAAGGTTGAAAAGTTCAAGGGGACTGAATGCTTTTGCAAGGCACTGTATATAGCACCAAGTCACAACAGAAGTCATCTCACAAAAACATACATATGTTAAAATAAGTTAACAGAAACATCCATGTATAAAAATAATAATTTAAGACTTTATCTGAGGAGCAGACTGCTTTGAATTTAACTCCATCATAGAACTCTCATCTTGAGCAAACATGAAAGCGACAGTGGAAAGGAGAAACTCCCTCATGAGGAAGAAACCTTTAGCAGAACCAGGCTCAGGACAAGCGGTCATCTGCTTCGACCGGCTAGGTTTGGGAAGAACAGATACACAATGGCAGGTCAAGTTAGGATAGAAATAGTATTAGGATAGAAATAGTAACGGTTCTAGAATTGTGCCGCTCGGGATGGCTGCATGTTGGAGCAGCTCTGTTACTTTCATTATGAGTTATTGTTTTTGAAAACTTTAATTCCTATTTTTTCTGGATGTAAACCACTTTTTTGGATGATTATTTCCTCTGGTATCAGATGCTGCACAGCTGGGAGGATTTTTATTGAAATTGTTTTACTTTTGGGCATTTGTTATGATGCGTAACCATGGCAACAATTGTTTTTTAACAACCAGGAGCAGCTGATTAACATCTAAAAAGCTCAAATATTTCAACTACAGCCCCAAATCACAAATGAGTGGAAAAGGAGGCACCATGGACAAACTCCTTTCAAACTGGCAGCGGTGCTCAAAGTACCTGACCACCGAGATCCAGGAGCTGGTGGGAAACTTGGCTCATGACAATTGGAGGACCGGGATCGTCCCCCAGCACCTTCAGCTGTCTGTCTGTGGTGACGAGAAGCTCGGCAGACTGCTGGGAGGAGTGACCATTGCTCAGGAAAGAATTCTACCCAGCATTCAGGCAGTCCTGCTGCCCAGGAGGACCGAAAGGCCCACCAGATCTGACAGCAAGCTGGATCTGGGTGTATGGATCTGTGGCCAGATTCTTCATATGTGTTGCAGGAGATCCTTCCTGCCTACATCTATCAGCATCTAACAACTCAAACGAAACCAGGGTGATGAGCTACTACAACACTTAATTTCCCTGTGGGATTAATAAAGTATTTTTGAATTGAATTGAATTGTATCAAAAGAAAACTATTCAATTTTAACGATTCAATACCATTTTAACAATGATAGTGTTGTTGCCCCAGCTGAGTTTGGCATTCAGGTGCACACCCAAGTATTTGTAGCTGGAGACCACTTCCACTGCAGATCCTCCTATATTGGGGAGGGGGTGGGGGGTTGTTTGTTCCATCTGAAATCCACGACCATCTCCTTTGTCTTCTTCACAATGATGTGAAGGTTGTTATTCCTGCACCAGCTCTCCATGTGTTTCACCTCCTGCCTGTAGCTGGACTCGTTGTTTTTGATGCATCCCACCACCGCTGTATCATCTGCAAACTTTACAATATGACAGCCTGGATGGGTAGGTGTACAGTTATATGTGAGCAGAGTGAACAGGAGGGGGATCAGCACACAACCATGAGGGGAGCCAGTGCTGAGGGTTATGGTGGAGAAGGAGAAGTTGTGGATCATCATAGACTGCTGTCTGTTTGTTACGAAGTCCAGAACCCAGTTGAAAATGGAGGGGCTTAGTCCCAGTGTGAGTAGTTTGTCTATCAGGGTCTGAGGAATCATGGTGTTGATAGTGGATGTGAAGTCCACAAAGAACATATGGATGTAGGAGTCCTTCTGCTCCAGGTAGGTGAGAGCAGTGTGGACCACAGAGGAGATGGCATCTTCTGTTGATCGATCCTTGCGGTAGGCACTTGCTGATGTCGATGGTAGCTTTGATGTGGGTCAGGACCAGTCTTTTGAAGACTTGCCCCTCCACATGCTCCATGGGTCTTGTGAGAAGAAATTTACCTAGATCTTCCAAAAAAGTTCAATCTGGTCCTCTGGACATTCAAAAAAACAAAACAAAGCAAAAAAAATCTAGAAACGTTTCGTCTCTCATCCAAGAGACTTCTTCAGTCTGAGGTGCTGTTTTCAGCTCAGTCTCTTAAATAGCACCTTCACAGAGTGGATCAACCAGTTTGCTGCTGACAACCAAAACCAGCTGATCACATGCTCAAGAAGGACCATCAGCCTAACAATGGGTCATTAGCACACTGATGGCTGTTTACTATTCACAGAGGGCTGAGTGATACTAGCAATCACAGCATTGTAAGAGGGGGACAGTTGAACCCAGAGGCCTCCACCCCTGTTTAATGATGGACGATTTCTTTTCACAAAGATGGCCTCCTTTACTCCTCTCTCAAACCATCGTTCCTCTCTGTCCAGGATGTGAACATCTTCATCCTTGAAAGAGTGACCGCTGGCCTGGAGATGAGTGTAGACCGCAGAGTCCTGGCCTGATGATGTTGATCTTCTGTGCTGGGCCATCCTTTTGGCCAGTGGCTGTTTAGTTTCCCCGATGTAAGACTGATCACAGCCCTCCTGACACTGAACAGCATACACAACATTACTTTGTTTGTGCCGGGGGACTGGATCTTTGGGATGAACCAGTTTTTGCCGTAATGTATTTTGGGGTTTAAAAGCCACTGGGACGTTATGTTTAGAAAATAAACGTCTCAGTTTCTCTGATACCCCCTCAACATACGGAATGACCACTGGTCTGTGTCTGGGTTTCTCCTTTTCACCTGATGGCTGACTGGAGTCCTGTTTGGGTTTCTTCTCTGCTTTCAGGAAGGCCCAGTTAGGATATCCACATTGCTCTAGAGCCTGTTTTGTGTAGGATTTCTCCTTCTGCCTGGCTCCCGAGCTAGTGGGGATGCTGTCTGCTCTGTGATACAAAGTCCTGATGACTCCTAACTTGTGCTCCAAAGGGTGATGGGAGTCAAACTGCAAATATTGGTCTGTGTGGGTGGGTTTGCGGTACACCTCGGTTTGCAAATGTCCTCTATCAGAGACTGAGACCTCACAGTCCAAGAAAGCCAACTTGCCATTTTTTACATCTTCTCATGGGAACTTGATGTATTTATCCACAGAGTTGATGTGGTCAGTAAAATGTTGGACTTCCTGAGATTTAATTTTAACCCAGG